TCCATTGTGGTGGTGTATAGAGCCAAAGATGTTAGAATTGTGTCGATGTCCCATTATTTCTAGACCTGACTGTACACTAAAGTTATATTCTTATGAACCGGAGATCTTGATTAATGTGGGAAAAAAATCCCCTGTTGGCCACTTTACAATTTGGGAACACTCCCACTCTAAAGGAAATCTACATATTACTATAGAAAAATATGAAAACCACCATAACTTATCGATAAGGTTTTTAGTAGGAAAGCCCAGCCTTGAGAAGACTCTACCAAAATATGGGTTAGTCAATATCAAATAGCATCATCATCTTTTCTGTTGTTCAAAATTTGACTGCATAATTTAACTTGTTTACTATTTTTATCCCATCCTATCTTTCAACTAGAGAATTACTAGAATATTAGAGTGTCTCAAATGTTTTGTTTCCTTACTCTCAGTTTATCGGTTTTAAGGTTTCTAACTTTCTATGTATCTTTTTATGGGTGAATAAAGAGCAAAGACAAAAAAAGTTTGAATCTGTTTATTCAATTAAATATGGATATCAAAATATAAACTTAATTATTCAAAATTCTAGACCCATACAATTTGTTACTCATCTTGCAAAGATGAAAGCAACAGAGTTGAGGTGATAAACTGAACTGGTAGTAAAAATGCAAAGGGTAGCAGTACACAGATACAACCCATTTCTTCTTGGCTTGTTGAACAGTATAAAATAACTTCTTGGGCATTATAGACCTACAGCCAAGAGGCTTCAGTAGGTCTCCTTAAACAATGATAGACAAATGGGGGCAGACCGTAGAGTGTACTTTGTTTGCTTGTTCATTTGATATTCACCTTTCCACTTGGTGAAATCTTGATGTTGTGTACCTTGGAAGGTGAGAATCACCATCATTCTCTGGTTATTTTGCTTCAAGCTTCTTGGAGATCAACTGATAACAAGTATGCTCTCTCCTTCCTTGAAGCCCTTGGCCTTAAATAGAGGAGAAAAGAAAGGAGGGAGTGGGTTCCTTTCATATCTAGATAGATTTCTTGGAAGATTGGGGCAAGACAAGAGATGCTTCCTGTAACTTACTGGGTATGCTGTGAGCAGTCATTGCCTTCCTGGGTTCCTGGGTTTAGCATTTGCCTGACACTAGCTCTGAAAAAGCTGAGTAATAAGGCCTAATGCATATTTAGAAATAATCTTGCATAGTGCATCTACTCATAATGCTAAGCTTTCTTGAGCAATTATGTATGTGCAACATGGGTGCACAATTGGAGGCCCCAGGGCCTTAAGTGTATCCTCCAAAGCTCCTTCAAAAGTTGCCACTGTAATTTTTAATACAATAGAAAAAGTATTAAATACATAGGGGAGCCCTCATATTAACTATACTTGGCTGATTTAAATTAGCTTTATATATTAATTAATTAAATATTAGTTCTTGACCTGGTCACACATATAGTTTCAGTCAGTACCCAATGGAGCATCCAGGACTCCCCATAGTGTGCAATCAAGTCTGACCTTAGTGAAAAGCTTTAACAAACAAGCTGTAATGACCTCGTTCATATACACCACACTGGTCCAGAATGGGTGGCATTGCCAATTTGGGTGGCTTTAAGATTACAATTACAATTACAAGCAATTACAAGATTGCTCTGAGGATATAATGAGCACTAGAGGCAAAAATTACATTATCATTCTGAACACAGGGACCCACACTTACACAGGACACTATGCAGTCATTTATGTACTGCATTTTGCCCCAGGTTCCCTCTCAGTGCTCAGTTTATCCTCACCAAAATCCTATGATATCAATTGGGCAGCTTGTATGTATGAATATTATCATCCCAAAGTCACTTCATAGTTTCATAGCTGATTAGAAATCTGAATCTTGGTCATTCGAGTCTTAGCCAATCTTCTAACCATGACTCCATTCTCTTCCTCTTAACTCCTTTCTCTCAAGGTTGCTGATGGGTGTAAGGTAATGGAACAATACAGCTCTATTCACACAACCACCTTAAAATGGTTAGTGAGTTAAACCGTTTTGTATTTTCATGCAATTACCTTGAGCTACAAGCTAGTCAAACTGGCTGGTTTGCACAATTCCTTAAGAACAAAACACAACACCAAGGAGAAAATGAATTAATGTCAGCACATCTGCAAATGTAACCCATTTCTGCAACTTCCCACCTCAAAACAAACTCAAGATTTGGAAAGAAATGGGAGCTGTGCCTGTTTGTGCTCACCCCATTTGGAATGCCATTTCTGGGTAACCACTATTGGGGGAGACCTCCACCTTCTTTTATGGAGGGGTTGTGAAAGGCCTTACGCCTCCTCCCTCCAGATGCCACCTGTGAAAAATATCCGAGTGGGGTGTACAGATGTGCAGAAGGGGTTTACTGTATATTTTCTCATTTGCTTAGAAGGCCAGTTGATTCTGAACAGTTGAAACTACAGGACAAGTATGAATATGGTACACTGTATGATTGTATTGTACCTACAGTTGTCCTGTACATACAAAACATTATGCAAAGAGACAATAAAGGCAAGGTTCTCATTAAAAAGTACATCAGCTAAATGTTTTTATTTCCATAATGATTGTCACACAGGTTGTTGATCTTCTGTACATTCTGCTTATCTTTTCCCTCTTTTCAACTCTCCCCCTCACCCCCAGTTCTCGTGATCTTTTCACCCTCTTTTCTTACAAGGAATTCTCCAGTTCACCCTTGACACGCTTTAGGAGTGTGCAAGCGAGCTGCCGCTTCATGGCAAACCTCAGCTGGACATCCTAAGGCTGAACATTTCCCGCATATTCCTGAGGCATTCACACCGATCATTTTCACTCCCCACAGCTGACACTGGAGCAAGCAGGTTGCTCTCTGCTGCCAAAGTTGTTTTCATAGCTATTACGCAGATATAAATCAGGCTGAATTCAACAAAATGTAGACTGAGCTCAGCTAGCAGCTTTCCTTTGCATCTTTGTAACATGACGGGGCTTGCAACATTCTTCGCCAATGAAGCTTTAAACTTTATTTAAAGAAATAAAATGGGCAGAGTTTGTTGCATCATCTCTAAGCTTTAGTGAAGAATTGTGCCTGACATGCTCAGGTAACTTAGTCATGTCTTGCCCTAAGCCTCTGAAATATTCCATCAAACCAGCAGTTACAGGTAAATATTAAAAAAAAAAAAAATCAAGGCTAACATTGCACTTAAGCAATACATTCAATTAATGTGTAAGAATCACATTTAGCCTATGATTTCTTTTTGCATCTCTTAGGAAATCTCAAGCCTTTATCTTTGAAAAAATGGCATGTTAGACCCAGAGGCTTATGTTGCCCCTTTTAAAATCTGCTGCTGTTGCCAAAAATTCTGCTTTGAGGTAATTACATTGTCCTTATCACAAACTGCTACTCACCAGTAAGATAATTTCATCATGAAAGAAACTTGCAGGGGTTAGACAGGAAGTTTTGACATTCTCACAAGGTGACATGATTCTAGATGGTTATTTTAATTGATTTAGAAATAATCTCACATCTTATGTTTCTCTGGCTTGCAGGAAAAAAAAAGCAGAAACCACCTAACCCACAATTTAGTTAGGAATGCATACATCTAAAATTTAGCAAAATATGTGAATGTCACATGGTATTCAGTATTCAAATGCCAGCAATCCAACTTGCAAAGTTGTATGGCCATGTCAGTAAGATAAACTGCTTACCTTTGGAACTAATTCTGTATATTACTAGTAGTATCTATGCATTCTAGCCAAGCCCTGATATATTCAGGCAGCTCAAAAAGTAATACTGTGTCTCATAATAAATTTAAGCAGGATCAGAATAAATCTAAACAACTTTTGATGTTTGGCAGGGAGCAGATTATTACATCTTTTTGGTAAGAAAAGACCAAAATGGTGGAATAACTATGAGATGAAGTCAATGAAAGAGGTAGGCCTGGAGATTGTCTTTACAATCTCTGCCTTTTCTTAAAGTTGTGTGTGGGGTTTACTTTTCTACATTTCCCAAAGTAAAAGTTTCTCCTAAGTGAAAATAAATAAATTCCTGCATGTGTTCTTAAAGGAACAGAAGTCCTGTCAGCTCTGCTAAGATGACTCTATTACCTTCAGTATTAACATGAAAGACACTCAAAAGAAAAAAGTGAAAAAACAAACTGAATCAGAACATAGGCAATATCTTTGTTGATGCAAAATATCTGCAATTAAAATCAAGAACTGGTTGAAACAGATTGAAACTCCAGGGTCTTCCCTTAAGCAGAGATTCACAGTCATAAGACAGCATTCTTTAGCTTTCCAGAAATAGGTATTTGGCTCATGAATCAAATTACATAGCAATATAATTCTTTACAACACCACAAAATACAGTATGTAAAAATATGCAGGGATTTACATTTTTACACAGCTGTAACAAAACTTTTAGCAAATAAGTTATAAATTAGAACAACAACATGAATTTTGTCTCACAAAGCAATACAAACATTCTCTAAAATTTCCTTCACAGAACATCCTTTGAAGTTCAGAAAAATCTTAGCAGAAAGTAGAAATAACAGTGGAAATGTTTCAACCTCTATGTGCAGCTCTTGTTCTTCCCAAAAGGTTCTAAGATATAGACTGCACAACTTTAAAACATGACTCTATGAACAAACATTCGTAAGATAAAAATAGGTGCTCCCTCTGGGGGGAAAAAAAATATTTTGGCAAATTCAAAAACTTCGTAACGGATGTTTTGAAAGGGTTATGACTTTTGCAGAAGCTCTAGAACGGTCTCTTGTTCACCTGACACTTTCCCTGTTTCCTTTCCAAATTAGGAACAATTCACTTCAAACTTCTCCCCAAAGAACAGAAGGAAATGAAAGGGGTCTGTGCAAAGATATAACTGCATTTTAGTGTGCCTTGCACAAGAACAAAGGCAATATCCTTCTGTTTTGAGCAATAAACAACAAAAATCAGTGTATCCACTTTTATATTAAGTACCGCTTTTCGTTTTCAGTTACCTTTTTGTGACCCCACGGAGTTACTAAAAAGAAGCATACTGAACTGATCTTTTGCTTGGGTAGTGACAAATTCTATTCCCTACCAGTTCAATTATTAAACAGCATATTGCTAAAGTTATCCAACAGGATATGTATAAATATAAATATATATTTATATCAGTGCCATTTGGTTTAATGTCATTATGCACACGTACAGGTTTGGTTTTTTTGTTTTTAATAAAGTTCCGCGCCACAAAACCAATGTTACTTATTTATTTTGAAAAGCAGGGATAAAACACAGTCCCAGTTTGAAAATCCACTATAGCGAACTGTTCTTCAGATGCTGTGTCTGTAGAGGCTTTACATGATATTCATAGATCTTCAGTGCAGGTCCCAATTTTAATGAAAGTCCAGTGAGTACATCATTCCTTGTCATCAACAGTAAAGACTTCCCATCAATTTCCTAAAGCAAAAATGAATAAATACTTAAAACAATCTAGGAATGGAAGAAGACCACAGAAACCCTTTTATTGTTTGTTTCTTAAAGATACCCAGAATGTGGGACCTTTTTTAGGCTTAGCAATCGTTCCTGGTTCCTATTTTGACCAGAATCCTTGGATTCTGCTAATGCTGTTTTTCTTTCCACAATGGTTAGGAGAATATGAGGCATATAGCAACCACCCTGACTTTTTGTCCCAGAAATATTGAGTCAGACTCATTGGTCCAACTAGCCCAGCATTCTCAACTTTGACTGGCAGCCAACCTGCAAGGTTTCACGCCAGTTTTTCCAACCGTACTAGAAATGCCAAAGATTGAACCTGGATACCTTAGGTACACAAAGTATGTACCTTGCCATCAAGCTATAGCCTGTCCATGGATCCAGATTATTTTATACTGATTATTTTGGAGAAATGTAAAGGAGTTGCTTCCTTGAAAAAGAATAAATCATGTACAGAAACAGCTTTTATTCTTTCACGACCTGAGAATATACCCATTGTGCCTGTTTTCATGGCTACAGAAAATAGGAGTTGCACCTTAACTACAATGGCTGAGAAATTCAGGACAGTGTAAAATCATCTTTCTACTAGCTCAAGTCTACTTGTTTCAAACCAGCTGATGGTCACTTCTGCATGCCAAGTAACTCCAATGGGTGTACTATATCCAGGCTGCAGAATCTACAAGGCCACTAGGTGGGAGCAAACAGATACAGAAAACTACCGCTTTGCTGCCTTCTAGCAATTGTCTAAATTTTTGCAGCCCAGATCTTGTAGGCATAAACTCCACTTGCTTCACAAAGTTGTCACTATATCCATCTATTAGTTTCTTTAAAAGTTCCCCCTGACTTTGGGGGGGGGGGCGGAAGAGTCTCTCTTGTGTATCAACAACTGACACAGAAGCAGAATTAGACAGAATTGTAAAATAATTTTGTCATGTATCCTGAAGGAAGCTGGTTTAGTGATGAAACAGATTATATTCTACTAGAGTTATCTGAAAAAAATTTTGTAAGGAAGACAGAAAGCTAAGGGAACTTAGACAGAAAGGTTGAAAGTACAGAAAGGCAGTTGACAATCGGACAGAGGAAAAATGAAGGAAAAGGAAAACTGGTATAAATAAAAGAGAAAAAAGAATAATGGTAGACTTTCTAACAATAATTTTATAATTAAGCACTCAGTTGGAATTTTTGTTGATGTTCCTTTTTAAAGAGAAACCTCTATATCTTATGTCTTCATACAATGATATTCTTAAATTGTTCATAATCACCAGCCCCCCTGAATAAATGAGAGAATAAAAGCCCTCCAACTCCTAAACTGCTATGCCAGCAAGAAAAGAAACTGCTAAGAGAGGTGATGAAAGCTCTATCATCTGGCCTCATATTTTGGTAGCAAAATTTTAAATTATATTTACTCACCAATAAACATCTGTCCAAACAAACTAGGTTCCCCTACAGTGCCCAAATTATTCATAGCAGCACAAATGCCAGCAGGAATAAAGTCTGACTACCATCTGCACTTTCCCAGAAAAAAATCCTAACTCAGCTTTGAAAATGTACAATGTTACTGGGTTCTATTTCTTTAATTTTAAACCATTCAAATCCTCACCATGCTCCCAGCAGTGTGGGGCTCTCTGCAGAGATTCCTGCTTCTTTCAGCACTTATTTGGGATGACTATATGCCTTTGCAAATCTGCAATCACAAGGTCGTTTCAGAAAGCTCTAAAGAGCAAGAAGTTGCAGAAAGTATGACGCTGCTCTGAAGCACAGCAGAGTTTTCCTATGAAATGAATACAGTGAACATGAGCCCTCTTACATCTGTTGCATACAGGTAGTCCTCATTTAGTGACCGCAATTGGGACCAATGACTCAGTTGTTAAGCAAAGCAGTTGCTAAGTGAACAATCCCATGACCCTGACTGTGCATACAGTTTTACTTAAGCTTTCCTTTGCTTCACACTATCAGAAGGATACAACCCCAAACAGCCAGGTGAGCCCAAACAGAGGGGAAGGTTTCCAGAATTCGACTCATGAGGAATCCAGGTAAAATGACAATTCTTATAGCCCATTTTCCCCACTCCCCACCCTTTGGAATGCTCACCCTGATGCTAGGATAATTAGCAAGAAGAGAGTTAATATTTGTATTTACATTCATTGTGGAGGAGGGGATTACAAGAGACTAAGCAGGCACACAATGGGCAATACACATAGAAAGGAATGCACTAGTACTGATTATTTGCCTAGCACACTTGCCATGAGCTGCTTAGAAGGTGAAAGAAAGCCTTTGGTGTAAAACTAATTAGGGTCTTGTCAATTTCAGGCAGCAGCTGTGAGCCACCAGGAGGATTCTAATCCACTAATTAAGGTCACAGACCTGAGCTTCTTAACTTGCAGTCAGCACTTTTTAGGGATGTGCTGCAGAGCTCAGGAAGAGACAGGTTGTTTAAGCAATCTCTCTGCTTTGCAGGGCGGGAGGGAGAAAAAAAGGGTCAGGCACAGGACAATGTGTACTGACTGACTGTAATGGTGAACACATGACTGAGAAGGAGAGAGAGAGAGAGAGAGAGAGATGCTGCAAAGGTCATAAATGCAGACATTGGCCGCAAAGTTACTTTTTTATTGCAGTCACTAAATGAGGACTATGTGTATTCAGAAGTCAACTATGGGTCCATACTGCTTCTAAATTGATTAATTATGTGCCATCCAGTTGGTATTAACTCTTAGCAACCACAAAGATAAACTTTCTCCAGGATAATCTGTTCCCAGCTTGGCCCTTCAGAACTCCCAATGCTGCTATAATTAAGTCCATCTACCTGGCTGCTAGTGGTTCCCTTCACTTTCCTTCTACCTCTCCCATCTTATGGATTTCTCAAGGGAGCTGAGTCTTCACACAATGTGTCCAAGCCTAATACTTGTGTCTTGAGTTAGAACTCTGGATTGATTTGTTCTAGGATTCATGCTTTTTTACTACCCACAGTATTCTCATGGACTTCTTTGTTTGATTTTCCTTGAATCAGTTACTATCTGTCTACTGGCATCCTTTAGCATACCAGTTTGAAGCTGGAACCTCATTCTGAGTTTGGGGATCTTTTGGAAGATTTCCTTATTTTTCCTTATTTCCCTCTTTAATGTCTTTACAGGTGTTGTTCCTGTAAACTACTTCCTGTTTCTTATAAGAGCTCTCTGAAATTCTTTGCTAAGTTCTTTCTTAATCTTTCTTGGCTTTGGTTTCTTCTCTTCTCTTCTTGGGAATTACCACCATGTGTTCTGACATCCGGTTTGGTTTCTTTTGTTTCTTGGACTTTGGCATTCTCTTTTCACATTTATCCTGAACCATGTCTTTGATTTTGTTCCACAATTTCTCAAGTTCTCTGTTAATGAGATTCAGGACTTCAAAGCAATTCCTGGAAAATGGTTGGTATGTGCTAAAGATCATATTGTGGAAATTGGTTGACTTTATTTTTTCCTTTTAGCTTGCCTTGAAACTTGACACAAACAGTTCATGATCTGTTCCAGAGTCAGCCGTGGCCACATTTTTTGCTGTTATAACTGAGCTCTTCCCCTTCTTTGTACCAATAATATAGTCAATTTGATTTCTGTGTTCTCATCTGATGATGTTCATATATAGGTGCCATTTCAGTGGTTTAAAGAATGTGTTAGCAATGGATATCATTAATCATCACCTGGCAGAAACTGATTAAGTCATTTTCCTCCTTCATTTCTATTTCCTAGGCCATACAGTCCAACTATATTTTCCTTCTTACTATTTCCAGTGTTGGCGTTCTAGTCTTCAGCCACAAGCAGCACATCCTGCTTGCATGTTCTATCAATTTTAGACTGAACTTTATCATAGAACTCATCAATCTCCTCTTCTTCTCATCAGTGTTTGGAGTATAAACTTGGATAACCATCATATTGAAGGATTGTCCACCAGATGCTATTCGCTCATTGACTGCACAGTACCTAAGTAGTGCCTTTGCTATATCTTTCCTGACTATGAAAGCAATACCATTCCTTGTTTTTTTGTGACCCAAGTAGTAAATAGTATGATTTTCTGACTGAAAATGTCCAGTTCCAATCTGTTGTAATGTTTAAGATGTCAATGGGTAGTCAATTTATTTCACCTTGCACTATGTTGAATTTTCCATATTCACGTTTCTTATATTCCATGTTCACACTGTAATTCTGTCTTTGCAGCTTTGAATTTTCTTTTCTGGCATGGCAACATCAGCAAGTAGACATCTGGAAGGCTTTAATCTAGCTGCATCATAAGTACCATTAGTACTCTGTAGGATCCTCAGCCCTTCCTCAACAGCATATTGAGTGCCATCCAACCTCAGGTGCCCATCATACAGCACTATATTGTCAATCACTTTATCTTGCCTACCCATGTGGTTTTCTTTGTAAAATACAGGAGTGGTTTACCACTGCCTTCTCTGGTGCAATATGAGATCTTTATCCATCTCCAACATTTTCCTATATCATTGCTGCCTAATATAGGTGCCTACCTGATTCATCTGGGCAGCTGGGATGACCTTCAAGACTTGGGTGATCCTACTGAGAATATATTCTCTTGGCGTACATTCTCAGCATTCTTTACTCATCCCTCCCAGGAATATCCACCTCCCTTGCCACTATGTGGCAGTATAGCAGGATTCTTTTGGGGGGGGGGAACTGCTCCTAAATAGTTTAGTGAATAGATTTCTGGATGTTATATTAAAAAATCAGGATATAAATCTGATGTTCATGACAGGGTTGACATGCTCCAACTCTATTATCATTTTGCTATTGTGAAGTAGTACAACAACTGTTTCTTGGTAGGACTACCATATTTGGGCGGCAAAAATCTGGAGGACCACTAGATAGAGTATAGGTAGTTCTCATTGAGCAACCACAATTGGGACTGGCAACTCCATCACAAAGTGAAGCGGTTACTAAGTAGGAAATCACATGACCATGACTGTGCTTTTCTTT